AGTATTTCATACTATTCCAAGTACAACAATAGCTGAAATCAAGTAACAGATTAATTTTCTGAACTTACCTTCTTCAACTTTCTCGCTTACTTTTCTCCAAGCAATCTCTATTTTGTCGAATCTGTATAAATATGAAGTAGTCCCACAGAGCTCTGGTGGCTACAATAAGAACAGTGGGTGCCGTAAACATTTACATTTATTCATTTAGCTGACGCTTTTATCCAAAGCGACTTACAATTGCTATACATCTCAGAGGTCGTGTGCCTCGGGAGCAACTAGGGGTTAAGTGTCTTGCTCAGGGACACAATAGTGAATGTCTCACAGTGGGAATTGAACCCAGGTCTCCCACACCAAAGGCAAGCATCTTATCTGTGCGCCATCACCACCCTAAACACAGTGAAAAGTTAATTTAATAAAAACTCCTCCCGCCGTTAAATGACTCAGTCGTCAGTTCAGAATACAGTCCAACTGCAGGTGTTTATTTGTTCAAAAGCTCCAGCACTACCCCCGCCACCCTCCTCCAGAGCTCCATGTTGCTCAACAGCTGTTTCTCGGCGAGCAGAGGCTCTGTCCCTATCCTCTACACACAACATTCTGGAAAGCCGCCTGCGACTGAGTCTCAGTGCTGATAGGCTATCGCAACATAGCATCCCACAAATGTCACACTCGATGCATACGATTTTTCGTGTGGCCGTGCACTTCTCGTCATGTCCATCGTGTGGATTATGTCATCTTTAAACAGACTAGGCTAGCTGTTTCCCTCTGTTTCCAGTCTTTGAGCTAAGCCAAGTTAGCCAGCTGCTGGCAGTAGATTCATATTTTACTGTACATGAGAGTGGTCTTGATCTTCTTGTGTAACTCTTGGCAAGAAAGCGAATAAGCAGATTTCCCTAAATGTCGAACTTTTCCTTTAATATTATACGCATGAACTATACAATGAAAAACATTGTTTTATAAACTAACTTCATGAGGCTTTGACCGGTCAGAAACATTCAGGGCTGCAGACTCCACCCCAGTAGTCCTAAGGACATTGAACATAATTTTCCTGGAAAATTCCCTCAATGAAAAAGGGTTATAATCACAAGGTGCCCTCTCTGTAAGGCACTTAATGCTAAACTACCCCTGTGGGTCCATTCAGAGGCTATTGCCACAGTAAAAAGGAGTGGTGGTACTGAATCATACTGATTACAGGTATTCTTGTGTTATGCTGTGTGAATGTGAAGTTGGGCATTGCAAGAAAAGAGCCAACAGCCTCAGTTGACTCAGTTGCCTGGGGAACAAAAGATGCACTCAGTTTGAATTAAAAAAAAGACACAATGAGGGAATAAAATTGGTTTGAATTAAACTTGCCTGTAAACCTGTGTGTGTGTGTGTGTGTGTGTGTGTGTGTGTGTGTGTGTGTGTGTGTGTGGTCCTGGGAGAGTAGCGAGAGCTGTTGGTGGTGATGGAGGAAAGAAGTGAGTTCTAGAAAAAGACAAAGTGGATCAGCTGATTAGAGTCTATGGGAGAATGTGCAGTGTTTTCGGTCTGTGTCTATACATAGGGACTTGTCTGTCTCAAGGGTTTGTATTTTCGTCTGAGAACTAGGAAATGAGAGTACATGGAAGCTGTTATTGTTAACATCCAAGCATATCCTTGCCTTGTCCACCTTTTTTATGGTCTGTTTTGCTTCTACCAGCCGCAGCACAGCAGAAGAGGGTGGGTCTTTTGAAGTATCAGACTTATTATTTTTTTTTTAAAGTACAATGAAGCAGGGGCTGCCAACTAATAGAGTCCTACTCCACTTCAGACTTAATTCTACAATGACCCCTCAATAAGGTACATGGACAGGTGTATTGCCAGGTTTTCACATACATAAGTAATTTGCCTTTGTGTTGTGATGCAACACAAATAAAATAATTAGATATACAACATTTTGAATAAGGAATGTGCAAATGTTCATATTATAAAGAAAATGTGCAAATAGGCAGATGGAGATGCACACGTACAAAATTGGGTCAATGACATGAGTGGTGTCTGCAGGATAAACCTATGAGTGCATAATGAACATATAATGTCCATGGGGTAGGATAAGAGACCATGTCCGGGTCCTGGGTCTTGTTGATGAGGCCAGTTGCAACTGTTTAACTAATATGTTAAACCAGGACAAGCTAACATATAATAAAACTCGTCAGCTTGATCTCTTGTCAAACAAAGTACATGGTGTAGTAACATGGTCGAGTAAATATCTCATCTCTGAAATGGGACGATTATTACTGCCTCATCTAAATTTAGACAACTTTGCGCTGTACACAGAGCTGAGCCAAAAACATTATTTTTTTCAATAGCTAAATTAGTCTTAAACACCCTGTAGTTATTACACTGCTTGGCTTGTTTTTCCCAGGAGGTTGTGACAACACATCTCTGTCAAGGACTAATGGGAGGTGTTTAATTTTTGGACGGAAAGGTAGATGGAAGAAAACATCTTTTAGAAATAACGTTGTCTTACACAGGCTATAACACATTCTAGCTTTTGTTTCAGATATATACTTTGACATATGTGAGCATTTGATTGATTATTGAATTATTATTTTAGGATTTTTTAATGCCTGACCAAAACATAGCTGCTTCTTCAATACATTTTGTGACCGTGGACAGAACGTTTTCAACAGATTCTAGCTTCAAAAGCAGGTTGGATGTCACATGGTCCTCTTCATGTTCTTCTTTTTTCAGTGATATCACTCCTGATATTAATCTGATTAAGTGCCGCTTGTGTCTATATGATCTATTGGTGCAAGCGGATTATCCCTGCATATCAATCTGCAACATGTCTAGATAAAGTAAAAATCCCACTTTTATCAGATATTTATTGCAGTTGCAATTCAACCAACACCCAGTGAATGAAAGCTTTTATATTTGCTTTCAGATGAGACTTTCCTGGGAAAATCCTTCAGATGCACAGTAGATAAATACGTGTTAGGTTTCTGGCAGCTGCTTGTTTGAAATAAATATGATAAAACCTGGGTAGTGAGCTTGAATGGTAATAGACAGAAAGAACAGTGGCACATCTTTTCCCAAATCCAAAAAGTCACGTAGCACTGGTTGAGTGATGAATGATTTTGGGAAAGCACCTCAGCAGTGAGTGCTTATCATCAATGATTCCTTCAAAAATAAAAATTGGAGGAATTCTTGAATAACCACTATGAGGACTAAAAATGACAAACACAAATAAAAGTGAACAGGCCGGCACACACAAACTTCCAGATAAATGCATAAACACACAAGAGCAGAGGGACTGTGGTCTAGTCACATTGCATTGCAGCCAATCAGCTAATTAGGGCCATGGGAATAGTAGAGGGAGTGTAATTTGTGGCAGTGTCATGACTCTGGTTAGAGGATAGACAGGAGTGACATTCACAGACTGACAGGGTGGGGTTGTTTTTGAGTGGGTGTGGGGGAGGGGGTTGTTTGTGGTGGGAATTGAGGGGAAGGAAAGAAGGAAGTAGTGGGAAGAGAGGAGCAAGAAATGAATGGAGAAAAGGAAAGTTGGCAAAAGGGCGTGATGCACTCTGGCAGGCAAACCATCAGATAGACAGAGAGAGGACTATAAACTGACAGATGAGTAGATGGGTCGTTAGTCACACACACACATTTAAATGGAGGAAACAGGAAATATGATCACATTATAGCCATGACCACCAGTACATAAAGGCAAGAGCAAGAGTTCTCAATGGTAGTCACAGGATAGATCGGGGTTATACTCAGTCAAGCAGCCACAGAAGCACATATGCAGTGAGACAAAAAGATGGCTATATGGTCACAGGATAGACTTGAAAGCCTGGTACATTTCTAACCTTCCCCTGCAGAAATTCATGTGTATAACCTTCAGGCTGTCAGTCTCATGAGGCTCGTTAAAACAAGGACATTGTTTTGCTGTAAGAAGGGACTCATTGATACCAATTCTGGCTACTTTTACAACTATTATTTGGAATTTTATAGCTGAACTATCCCTCATGCAGTTGTTTCAGAGTCCATTACAGCTAAACTACCCACAATACAGTAGTTATTCTGTATATTACAGCAGAACTCCCTCAGGTATTTTTTTGTCCAATTTCACCCCGCAGCGGCTATGGAGTCCCATTTTAACTGTGACAGAAAATCTTTGGGTCCACATTCTCGCTTAGTTTTTTTATTTTAAAGCTGTTGTCTTATCGATGTGCTAGATTGCCTTCAATCAAACAGCTCTGTGAAGTTTGAGAAATATAATACTAGTATTTTCATGGTTTTTAGGTATAATGGGTGTTGTAGTGTCCTATCAGCTCATGGTCTTCTGCTGTCCTCACATTTGCTATGACAAAACCTTCCTCTTCCATAATAAGCACATTACCACATTGTAAGTGAATTTTTTTTTTTTTAATCTTTTATAACTTATAACTGTATAAATGTTGTTATACTTTGTGTGCCAACAAATTCTTTCTCAAACTGTACAATGTTTGTTCAACAGTGTTATAAAAGTGCAATGGTTAATCGGTGCAGTACTCTTTTAACATTTTGATATATAACAAGGATTAAAGTTGGAATATCTAGTTGGCTTGTGTAGTTAGATGCTAGATAGAGCAGAAATACTAAATATCAATTATAAAACATTCAGCTGTAAGAAAATGTCATTTTTGAAAAAGTTAACGCAAGGTAAGAAAATTAAACAAGTGGCTTGTAAAAGCAAAGTCTGTCCTGTCAAGGCAGGGTAACTTTTTTTATTTATTTATTTTTGATACATATGTTCATTACTGGCATAATAAGGCTATTGACATACTTAACATTATGCAATTGAGAAAGAAAACAAATTCCTCCTGCAACAACAGACGCAAAAAGCCTGCGGGGAACGCATTGTTTGGCCGGAATCTGTGTGCTGTGCAGTGTTTTTTTTTTTTTTTTTTTTCTGACTGGCGAGGATATTTGTGTATTTACGGTTTCCTGGAGGAAACTAGGGGCTCAGTGTATGCTCTGTGCGCGTGTCAGACAGCGAGAGAGAGAGAACGAGCAAGCATGTGAGAGAGTCTGTCAGTATGCAATGTGTTGAGCAGCTGAACTTTACCTTGAACTCTCCTGCTCTCAGAGGACAACACTGGCCAAATCTGAGCGACAACCGTTCTTTTTTTGGGGGGGGGGTCCTCATTGTCGATGCGTTTGTTTTGGTTCTTTTCTTTCTTTTGATCTGGATGCTTGCCCCAAAGGAAGTAATGTTGCGGGATCCCTCAGGATTTTGGACATTTTTAAAAATTTGGACGCAACACTTCTATTCATCTTTTGTATAGAAGTATTTCCCTGTTGTTGTTTTTTTTCTCCCCTCTCGTTGGTATTTCCTGCTTTTATGTTTTGTTCTAATCCCGTCCTTCAGGCCAGATGAGTGTGCTCCGCTGGCACCGACTCTCTGCGCTCTGGAAGAACTGGATGTTCAACCAGGAGCCAGCAGAAGAGCAGGACCAGATCCCAGAAGCTCCAGGGCATGAAGCAGAGCCACAGAAAAAGGAAGGGAACACGTTCAAGGATCACAACTTAGACTTTCAGAATCTAAAGGAACTTAAGGCCCAAATCTTTGATTATAAGATCCAGAAATCAGAAATTGAGATCCAGAACTTGGAATTTACAAATTCGAACTCTGAGCTGTGCTCTCAGGTCTCATACAGTGAGGATCAGTCTTCCAGGTGTCCCCACACACCTGAAGGTTCCCGTAGAAGCTGCTGTTCTGAGGAAGGTGTTCACTCTGTATTGCAGGTGGATAACGGCAGCGAGGGGGACGACAGTTTCCTGCAGAGAGAGGGATCCCAACGGAGGTCTAGGCGCCGCTTCAGGAGGGTCAACCCCAGGGGAGAGCGGGAAGTCATCACAGACGGCCAAGAACCCGCGGGCTACAACACGGTAGGGGTAACGCCATCACTAGCAGCAGAAGATAATGCAAACCCTCTTATTGTGAGAGGTGGTGTTGTTTGACTGCACAATGTTGTTTTTGCACTGCCTGTTTACTTTTAGATTCATATAAAACAGGAAGCAACTTTTATTCTATGAGCTTATCCAAACACAGTAACATTTTATGCCCCTTAACATTTGATTTTACTGAACATACATAGCTGGTTAGGTTTTATATTTTTCAGTAATAAAAATGTTAAAACCAATGTTCTTGGTAGACTTTAAAGATCTCATTTTCTGAAACCTGCTCACATCCGGTCTTAGCAGGAGCAGACGTAAATCATACTTACTACTAGTGCATGGGCTACATGTGATCTGTTCAGTCTCATTAAAGTTTTGCATTTGCTGTTAGATTAAATACATGATTAAGAAGATGAAGTACTTGTTGGCAAAATAAAGGTGGAACCGGGTGGAAAAGCTTTGTGACAGATTATATTTATTGCCCAGTGGAACTGAATGTTCTTGTCAATGTCTTTGAGTGCCCAGAGAGAAGGCAAATGACAAAACATTGTGTCACCTACATATCTGATACAATAAAAAAGGGGATTTTGTAGGTAGAATCAAAGTAAGTAAGTCTCATTTTATTCTGCTTGATATTCTGTCAGGAGTTTTGCCTGAGTAAGAAAAGTACTTAAACTGTGTGTGTGTTCTTTGTATGAGGTTGAGTTTCCCTCCCTCTGATAGGATCACTGGGGCCAACAGTGTGTCAGTTACAGTTTTGACTAATCACCAGAAGCCACGCTTGGACACACACACACGCGCACACACACACACACACACACACCCCTTCCGCTCACATACACACTTTTCCCATCAAATGCCAAGCTCCCTGGGAGTGTTAACAAAGGGGCTTAAATGAGAGATTAAAGTGTCCTCTACTGACCCTACGTGCCTCTGTAGTCCCTCGGTGATTGTTCCACTTTTTAAAATTATATTTCTAGCCCTCAGTTTCGCCACAACCCGCCACATTCCTTTTTTGTGACTGCATTCATTTTGAAAAGGCTAACCACTCTGGTGTGATAGCATAGCACAAAAACAAGTGGTACAGTGCAAATGTCCTGGAAATTCAGGGAATTACGTTAGATTGTAGAGCAGGGTGAGCTAGAGACACATTTGGCAAAAAAGAAAACATCTCTAATGTAAGAAATCACTGTGCTATGACATGCATTATACTCTGGTGATTAAGTGAATGAATGGGGCCCTTGACATGCTCACTTTTCTTTTATTAAATGAGAATATATAGATTAGATTATGATGAGCTAGACTTTACCTATTTTACTCTCATCACACATGCGTACTGTCCCTTTCTGACTTCATCTTGTTTCTTTCTCTCCTCTATGTTTCTGTGGATGTCTTCTGTCTTCAGGATTATGTCAGTAACCAGGTAGGAGGGAATACAAAGTGAATCTTTCCTAACATTTAGATCTATCTCTGCTCCAACCTCTTGCAGTATTTTCACATCAATCAGGGTTTTTTTTTCTGTTGATGTGTCTGCCGTGTGTGTGTGTGTGTGTGTGTGTGTGTGTGTGTGTGTTGTGTGTGCATGAATGTGTATGTGAGTCACCCCTGGTACAGGCACCTGTTATTTAGAAACAGGCAGTGTTGGGAAAAGCGGGTAATTCTGAGGCTGCCACACACGTGCACATGACACTGTGGGTGGCAGATAGGAAGAGGGCTAACTGTGGAATAAACAGATGCATGCTGGGAACAACAACAACAACTGACTGGTTAACAAATGGAGGAAAAGGCATTCAATTTTGACATTAAAACCTGACAGGACAGAGACAGGTTTGAGATGACAGTCGACGGCACAGTTTTTAGGTTTCAGATTCAGGTCAGAACATTACTGGCACATGGAATTTGATTGAATTGAGTTTCATGACACCAGGACCGCTATGTCTCGGACCATCTAGTGTGCTGTTGGTGGTTCAGTGATACATAGTGCCAACAGTACCCCCCACATTGCCATTAAATAACTTCAGGTTTATAGGGTTTATAGTTCCGATTTTTTTAATCACATATAGAAGTACAATCTGTGACATGCTGCATTGGTCCAGGATGGCACAATAGAAATTATTTTAAAAATTTAGTACGAGTATGTGTAAAAAAAAAAAAAAAATAAATAAAAATTTATTAATTTGTAAAGAGTTAAGAAATAATAATAAACAACAACAAGAATATATAATGACCTAGCAATGTACTGAGAAAATGGACCCAAAAACCCCCATCAATATTGTAACACATAATTCTGGTTTTGCAACCTGCTACATGCCGGACCTTTCTTCTCTAAATTCTCTAAAGTCGCGCAACAATGAAATAACCTTGTAGTAAAATGTGGAACTTTTACATCTGACTAAATGTCTGAATGTTAGTATGTCTCTGCAAAAATCACAAAGACATTTTCTGAAACCCGTCTCTGAATCAGAGTTCAGTTTGTGCAGACTTTTGAATTTCAAGTTCGTTCTTCTGTGTGGGGAGGAAGGTACGTTTGTTCTCTGAAATACTCTCTGAAGAAGTGATTGATTTATTAATTGATTGAGCTGCAATTAATAAAACAGGGTAAATAACTGGGTCAAGCAGCAAAATACATTTAAAAAGTATAAAAACCATTGTTTTTGTAGAAGAAACCATTGTTTTTGTAGAAGACACTGAGTTTGATTCTTCTTGACTTTTGTCAGTGTATCTTAGGGGGTTGCTCATTTGTGATGATAACGTGGTAATGAGTACATGGTACACACACACACTCACACACTCAAAGAGAACTGTTTACATGATTATCTTCATGCCAGTACCATGATGTTTTAGATGGAATTTTTATTAATGAATGAAATAGAAAAATACATTGGGTTATGCAGTAGATTTCAGTAATGGTTTTAGATGAGATGTGCTGTCATTTAAGATGACCAGTGCAGTGCCCGTTCACAGGGGCCGACGTGACGCCTCCCTGCGCTTTTTAGATTGTTTAAAATGTGCGTCTCACATTGGTTTCACCTACAGCACAGAAACAACACGACTATGGTGGACATACTGCTAGTTATTCAGCGCTTCCTTGGAACTTCATAAAACACTTACAACTCAGTTGCAACACATTCGTTTAACGTATATAAAACCTGCGTGATGACTAACAACTCACTACCACATTGGAGCATATAAGCCCCACCCCCACGAGCGTACAGAGCAAAGCAGCTCACGTTGCACTGTAGTTTATTTAAAGTTTATTAATTCTGGATGTGTCGCGGGTCCAAATTGCACCAAATGCGACTCCTTTGGCTCTGCAGCAACACACAAGTATGAGGTTGATTGGATGACCGGTTCTCTACATAATCAAAATACAAACACACACAATCCTGCCTTTATTAGAGAGATACATTGGCCTCGTAAGTGCAGGTATCAGGCCAATGCTTCTCAATAATTATCTCAAAATGCCAGATATCGGCCCAATAATCGGTCGATCTCCTCTACTGGATACATTTTTCTCAATTTAGAGGCAGAGAAAGACAAACTGCTGATTAGATCAAGTTTTATTTAATTATTTTATTTTACTTTTTATTCTTCCGTGATGACTGTGGTTGTGATTGATTCCTATTGATCCAGAAACCTGATTCCTCTTCCAGTGGGCCGAGAGACAGAAGATCCTGTGCATTCTCTCACTACCGTACAGACCACTGGGATTCACTAATGGCTGACTCATAACACACGCACACACAGCACACACACAGCGCGCACACAGCACACACACAGCACACACAGCACACACAGCACGCACACACACATGCAGACAGAAAAAGTCACTTCATTAAGACATCAGATGCCTCACTGGGTTACTGTCTTTCTCTCACTGCACAAGCCTAGATAGATGAACACATCACCTCATTTGTCTTGCAGGGGAAACCTGCTCTAAGGTCTTTTTACAGCCAGGGTGCTCCATGGCACCCCAGGATCATTAATTTAACATGATGCAAGTTCAGCCATCTGCACACAATAGTTCAGTATGCAGAACACTAGAAAAAAATCAGCAAAGAGTGATGTTAAGAATAATAAGAAGCCTTTTGTGTTATACTGTAAGTAGCTAGATTTGTTTTGAACATGCTTGTGGAAACGCTCGGAGCATGAAGCAGCATCCTCTCTGCTGTTTTGAAGCAACAGTGTGTCACTACACACCGGAAACATGTCTCTTGCAACGTCTGTGGTTAGCTAGCATCCTGTCTTACAAGGCAAAACGTCTCACGTCTGCTTCTTTTTCCCCCCTCCAAACACTTGGACTGTACTGTTTTTCCTCTCTGGCTAACCTGGGACACATGTGAGTAAAGTGTGCCCACCTGCATTAATAATGTAAAGTATCAGCCGCCAATGAACATGTAATGACATTCCTTTAGGCAGAGGGGGAGGTGAAAGCTACTCCAGGCAAGATTTTTAAAATTACACTCTCCCTTTACTGTAGATATGTCCTACTTGCCCACATTGGGTAGATAATCTCTCAAACAGGAAGCAACAAATCACATCTTCACACTAAACTTTCTAAACCGCAGGGAGCAAGTGTCCCACAGAAAGTTGGGCTCAACCATCAATGGTTAAATAAGCCTCTGGACAGTAGTTCACTAGAAGAAGAGTATAAATTTAGCCCAAGATTGACAACACTTAACTTGTTTAAACATTTACCTGTCCTTGCTCTGTAATAATCAATAATACAGTTAAGTAAGTTTAAACATATATACAGCATGTCACCAAAGGAAACTGATGCTTTCACACAAAGTAACATAACACTGTAAAATAGTGGTTACAGTGGTAGGTTTGTACTAATTTTCTAAACCTGGTGTCACACTTTATTAATAGGTGCAACACGACTAAAGAAAACAGCTGAAGCCCCTCTATCAACAAGCTCCCTGAAGTCCTCAGGACGCTAAATGCTCATTAGCGCCTTATTTTTATCTGGATCTGTCATCTGTGTGTTAGGCCCCAGCCACACTACCTTTTGCTACATTTGCACCTCCCGTTGCACTACAACGATGAAAACGAAGACCTAAAACGGAGAAGTTTGGAAACGCTGCCGACCCCGTTTTGCGTTTCAAAACTCCGGAGGGTGTTTTTAGTGAAGACGTGCCAAAACGGAGGACTTTAGAAACGATGACGCAGCCGCTCACGCTGGGCTCTCTGATTGGGTCTTGCATAGCAAAAACACAATGATTGGTTTTTGACACCATATTTTTATTAACATATTCTGTACCGTGCAAATAACACTCTTCTGCCTACACTTATACTGTGCATGTCGCCGTTTACTTTGCAACAACTCCCAGTCTGTTTTCTGACGCCACACTCCCGTGTTACATTCAGTAACAGTCCCAGCTCGTTATTGATCCATGCAACAAAAAAAATGGTCTGATGCTTAGTCTGTATTTATTTATTCTTTCGCCAAATCTTCTGTAACTACGGAATAGACCATCTGCTTCATGTTTACACTGGCATGTGCATGCCAAGTGCACCTGAAAGGTACATAGCTGTGCGTTTTCAGTCGTTTTAATTTAGACGGAGATCAACTCCGAAACGCTGGTGTTGACGGAGATCGTATTCGTTTTAATTCTCCGTTTGTAAACAAAAACGGAGTAGTGTTGATGGGGCCTAAGAGGCATCGTCTATAAACTGGGTAAAAGCATGTCACTTAAAAGCCCCAGAACAGTTACTGAATGGCCTGGTCATTGAGGTTATTTTGTCATCTACTGTTTCCAAGATCAAACATGAACTCACAATCTCAAGAATGTAGCTGCTTTTGGTTGAATTGGTATTTTTCATTCTTGTAGTGTAAATATAAAAGCACACTAACACCAGCTTATTTTTAGGGTACCATTAGCAACGACTTTACCTTGATGACACTATCTTTGGTGGTATCATATGAGTTCAATTTGATGCATTTGTGCTCATGCAGTGACTCAAGTTACTCTAACGTCACTGCTTACTATCGGGTTAAATCTAACATTGCCTTCGTCATACAGTGGGCAAGTCATAGAAACGTGCTTTGTCATAACCATGTCAACCTGGTGTGACGAGTAATGCAAAAATGACTGCATCATCTTTCAATCTCCCCTCATGTTTGAAGGTCATCTGGATGCGGTGATGGAAAAATCCACCTAAATGCACTATACCTCACTTGGCCTGGGGGGTTTGTCTCTATCGGCCACTTTGGCAAGTAGAACTGGTTGTTCTGAGGCTCCTTGTTTTAAAAGGGCTGGTTAAACAGTGAATGTCTCTGGGAAATCTATGTCGCACCAGCCACTGTGGTGGTGTGTTGAAAAAGTCAATTTCCTATGCTGATTGTGTTGGAATGAGCTCACTGGTGTCGGTCAGTTTTATAGAGTTTTGCTTGGCATCATGTAATGATGAAGCTTTTAA